AACTGCTGCAGTGCTCTGAGGCACTGAAGCGCTTTGGGCATCTTGTGCCAGCCCCTGCCCTGGGCAGGGGCACCTTCCACTGTCCTCAGCCATGGGGCACTGCCAGGGATCCAGGGGCAGCCCCAGCTGCTCTGGGCACCCTGTGCCAGGCCTGCCCACCCTGTGAGTGGAGACCACCAGTCCAAACTCCTGTAAAGCTCAGCCCTCATCCTGCCCAGGGTGCCAAGGCTGGGGGTTCCTGTTCCTCCTGCACTGCTCTCAATAAAGATGAGGGCAGCGGTGCCAGGGGATCCAGCAGCCACTGCAAAGTTGGCATTGATCAAACATTGATTAAACATCAGCACTGATTAAACCCTGCCTAAACCCTCCTCATCCCAGCAGGGATCACTGCAGGAACAGCAGATTCAGCCAGGGCAGGGGGAATGGGGCACCCCCAGGTACCAGCAGGTCACAGCCCACAGCTCCCAGCAGGACCAGCAAGGGCTCACTGGGGGGGTTTGAGCTGGGCTGAAGGGATCCAGATGTGGCTGATCTTTGGGGTATTGACTGGGAGGGATCAGTGTAACCCCACCCAGAGATGGGCACTGCCAGGGTGATGCCAGGGCAGCTCCTGGAGCAGCAGGAATGTGCCCAGGAGCCAGGCAGGGACCAGCCCAGCCCTGCAGGATGGGCCCTGAGCCTGGAGCAAGCACCTGCAGCCCGTGTTTGTGCTGCTGTGGGGACTGGGGCTTGCAGGAGCTCTTCTCTCCTGTCAGCAGGTAAAGAACCACCCTGGTTTATGGTGTTGTCACAAGGCCCTGGGGATGGGAAGGAAATTTCCACTGCCTGTCCCTGTGGCCACGCTGCTGACAGGGGTCAGGCAGGAGAATCCCAGTGAGGGCACCTCTGAATGAGCCCCCCCTGACCCAGTGCCCCCCAGGAGCTTCCTCCTACAGCCAGGAGCTCCTGGCATCACTGATAGACACAGCTGGCATGTGGAGGGTGACAGCTGGGTCTGCCTGGCCTGGGGGCCCCCATGAACCCCCAGAGCTGTGGGACAGGGAAATACCTGATCCAATCCCATCAGCTCCCTGGGACAAACCGTGTCCCAGGGCCAGCTTCCCACAGCTCCATGGAACCCATCTGTCCCATGGCTCCCTGCATGACCAGCGCTCCTTTGGGAAGAAATTGCACTTGGGCAGAAGGAATCCAGATTTCAGTTATTTTTGGGGTGTTTATTATGAGAGATCAATGTAACACACTTCCAGATCTCAGCTGCTCCTTCCTTGCAGCAGCTCCCAGGGCACTGTGCAGGCGCTGCCAGGAGCTGGGCTGTCCCAGGCCCCAATCCCAGACCCCAGACCCCAGACCCCAGATTCTATATCCCAGACCCCAATCCTAGACCCCACAGCAGCAGGGGTGAGCCCCAGCAACCCCAGGACCCTCGCTGGCCACCAAAGGCAGCCAGGTGGCAGATCCAGGTGCTGCTGGGTGCCCCCTGGCACAGGAGGTGCCCAGGCTGGTGCCACCGTGCCCACACTCTGCTCCCAGCACCTCAGAGCACAGCAAGGTCACAGCCCACAGCCAGGATTAACCCCTGTCCTTGGCTTTTAAACATTTACCACTCTGGGGAGCGGGATGTTTGCCTGAGCCCTGCGGAGGAAATGCTCCACATTGAGGCCACAAAGGCTTCAGTTCCTGCTGAGCACGGGCCTGAGACAGCACTGAACAAAGGCACAGCCCTGAGGGAAGGGTTCCCTTGGGTGGGAGCCTCAGCACCTGCCCCGTGCCCACAGGTGCCCCAGGATGCCAAGGGCAGAGCCCTGCCCTGAGCAGGAGGTGGAATCCTCAGCACCAAGGTTTGCTCATACGGAAACTCTGCCCGTGGGAAAAGGCGTGGGGATGAGAACAGATAAATCTGTTCCTATCAGCAGACACTTATTTTTGTCCTTGTTTGGGCTTGCACCGATTTGTTAGATAAGTGACAATAGCAACTGTGTCAATTAGTACAGGAAGTGGTGGCACCAAGCAAGCCAAGGCTTCCAGAAATGGTTTTTAGGAATCACAGGGAGCGTTTCCCTCACCCATGCACCTGGGCAGGACAGCCAGAACACCCCAGTTTTATCCACCCCCAGTGTTTCACTCCTCCCCTCATTTCACTGAGCAGATCTGCCACCTTCCCTTTGCTTTCCCAAACAAACCAAGGCACCCAAGTGAGGATCTGCAGAGAGAACCAGATCTGAGGGTTGGATGATCTTTAATGTCCTTTCCAACCCAAACCATTCTGGGGTTCTAAACCCAAAGCACCCAAACTGCAACAAGCACTGAGGCAGGCACTAAAGGACATCACTGAGTGCTGTTAACACAGTCCCAGAACCCCAGGCTGGTTTGGGTTGGAAACTGAATCCCACCTGTGCCAGGGCCCCCCACCCTCCCAGGGAAGGATCTCATCCTAAAATCCAATCTAAACCTCCTCCCTGCCAGTTTGAATTCATTCCCCTTTTCCTGTCACTCCAAGCTCTTGAAGCGCTTCGAGTGCTCTCTGTGAATCGGCCCTGGTACATTTTAAACACCAGAATTCCAGCTGGCATCCATAGAAAACTCATTCCAAAGCATTCTGGGCTGCACAGCGCGGTGCTGCAAGGAAAGGCCCAGCGACTGCAGCACGGGGTCAGCTCTTTCAGGGAGCCATAAAGAACCAGAGCAGCTCCTCTGACACCGCCTTATCTTCCCCGTTTATCTGAGAGTCCCCGGGATTACACAAGGGGCTGAAAGAGAATTTGCAGAATGGTTTGCAGGGATTACACAAGGGGCTGAAAGAGAACTTCAGAATGGTTTGCAGTGCACAGGTGAGGTGACCTCTGCCCCTCGAAGAGCCCTCTTGTGTAAGAGTTTTCCTCCCATCGCTGTCTCAGAGCAGATGGAAATTTCCAGGGATCCCCAGGGTGGGCTGAGCGCTGCCTGCTGCAGAGCAGGGATGGAGCTGTGTCAGTCCCACAGCCCAGAATGGTGTTTGAGCTGGCAAACCACCACCCAGGCCTTAATTCTGCTATTTCACATTCTTAATTATGGTGCTTAGCATTAAATCCACCAAGGTCCCCCAGAAGGGGTGGATGCTGCTGGTGCCCCCCAGCCCTGCACATCTTCCCTGCAATCACCTGGCCCCGGGCTGTCCTGGTTATTTCCATCCTCAATAACCACATTCTCCTGTGCCCAGCAGCCCAGGCACCTGAAAACTGTGTAAACTCAAAACAGGAGCTGGTCACTGCAGAGGGGCTGAAACCCCATGCACTGAGCCACCCACTGCTCTTCCTTCAGCTCCTAAAGCTGGGCAAGCCCTGGAAGTTAAACAACTGAACTGCCTGGAAGGCACCTTCATTTATCATCTGTGCAGAGCGAGCAGGCCATGCTCAGGGATGGGCAACGTGGATGGACACAGGGGCAGGGCAGGGGCAGCACCCAGAGCAGGGGTCCACAGCCAGGAGGGGTTCCTGGCTCCTGGTGAACTGTCAGGGGCAGGCAGCACTGCCTGACTGTGCCAGGGACGCAGGACCAGCCTCCTCCTGAGCAAAGCTTCCCATCCCCTTCCCCATTCTGGGAGCCCATCCTGAGCAGGGCTCCTCTCCAGCCTCTCAGGGCACAATCCTTCCCTGGCACAGGTGCCCAGAGCTGCTGTGGCAATCCCTGGCAGTGCCCCATGCCAGGCTGGACAGGGCTTGGGGCACCCTGGCACAGTGGGAGCTGTCCCTGCCATGGCAGGGGTGGCACTGGGTGGGCTTTAAGGGCTCCTTCCAGTCTGAAGCATTCTGAATTTTGTTGCCCCATCAGCAGCAATGCCCCAGGAAAGGGCCAGGCTGGAGCAGGAGGCAGAGGCAGAGACCCAGGGATGTGCAGGGGTCACACAGCCCTGGCAGCAGCAGCAGCACAAGGCAGAGAACTGGGACCTCTCCTGCCTGGAAAGGCCTCCTGAGGCAGCAGCTTCCCAGCAGAGCAGCACCTGCACACCCAGACACCCCCAGAGAGAGCTGAGGGGTTTCTGGGCCTGTTTGTCAGCACAGTCCTGAGCAGGGGCTGCCCACCCTGTCCCCCCCAGCTGCCAGGGGTGCTCCTCAGTGCTGCTGAGCCCTGGGGCAGCACCAGGAGAGCTCTGGCAGGGGTGAGTGATTCCCCTTCTCCCAGCTGGGTGCTGAGGGAACAGCAGGCTCCAGCAGGGCAGGGCACCCCGGTGCCTCCCATGCCAGGGATGCTGCAGGGCTGCAAATCACACAGGCACCCAAAATAGAGCTGAGGAGCTCCAGATCTGCCTCACGCTGGCAGAGACATTATTCCCCAACACAAAGGGATGAAATCATGACAAGAGACACAAAAGACTGATGGAGCCAGGACATCCCTGCAGTGAGCTGTGCTCCAAGGCTGTGAGATGAAAAGCACCAGCTCAGGGGGTGTTCCCAGGGGAAGCAGCTCCAGGAACAATGTGGATGTTCCAGGGCAGGTACACCCAGCTTGGCTCCCACTCACTGAGATGCTGCAGGAGGCTCAGGGAACACGGTCCCAAAGGGGCCTGGCCAAAGCTAACTGATGGTAGAGATGGGCTTTCATGCAACTCTGGACTCCTCACTGGATTGCCAGGAAAGGGCAGGACAGGGCTGGTGCCTCTGGGCATCAGTGACTGCCCAGGAAGGCCCTGCAGGGCAGAGGGGTTGTGGGGTTGTGCTGGGCTTTGGGCTCATTTCAATCCCTGAAGGAAAGAAAGGTCATTTCAGAGAATCCTGGAATGGTTTGGGGCGGAAGGGACATCAAAGCCCACCCAGTGCCACCGCTGCCATGGCAGGGACACCTTCACTGTCCCAGGCTGCTCCAGCCCTGCCCAGCCTGGCCTGGGCACTGCCAGGGATCCAGGGGCAGCCACAGCTGTGCCAGGGCCTGCCAGCAACTGCTTGAAAAACACTCCTGGTGAGAGGAAAAATGTCACCAAAGCGGATAGAAACCGGTCATTTCTAGCAAGGAAAACAGGAGACAAATTATAAATACTAAACATTTATTATTTTTTTCATAGGAAGGTTGCAAGATTCAATTTCAAACAAGAGGACAAGGGTTTTCATTGCTGTTGGGATTTTGTTTTGCTTCTTTTAAGGGGAGAGAGAAGGAACTGGTGTAGAGATACTACCAGGAGCAGTGCAAATTGAGATTCATTTCTTCCTTCAGCATGCCAGTGCTGACACAGCAGGCTGAGCCCTTCCCAGTTAAATCGAGTCTCTTTTCCAGTTTCTTGTACATCCCTGAACACAGCCAGGGCCCTCCTTGCCCTCCACCCTTCCCCTGGCAGCAGTGAGAGCCCTGCAGGGCAGTGCAGCCAACACTTCATCCAACGAGACCTGAACAGAACAGAAATGCACAGAATTCCCTCCTGCTCAGCCACCCCCAGCTCCCTGCCACAAGCACGTGTTACACAGCCACAAACACACACAGAGGCAAATCAAAGAACCCACGAACACTTGACTTTCGGTTGGAAACTAAGGAAGGCAAGCTTGGAACAGGAGTTACTGACACCTTGTGCAAGTCCACCACTGAAGAGCTGGGAACGGGAGCACGTCCTGCCCACAGAAATGTCCCTGGGATGCAATGTTCAATGTTCCATGTCCCTTGGATGCACCCACAGCTCCAGCCCGTCCCCAGCAGCAGCACCAGGAGTGTCCCAGGCTCAGCCCTGGGCTGGCACGTGCAAATCCATCCTGTGCATGTCCATCCTGAGCCCTGGGCTCCCAGGGCTCCCTCCCTGCTGCCCTCAGAAATCAATGTTTGCCAGACCTGGGTGAAAACAAAAGAGGGGTTTGGGGCAAGAAAGGAGGGTTTATTCTTACCCTCACTGCACCTTACACACAGCAGGAAGGATGCTTGCAGAGTTATTTCATTTTTTAAACTGAAACATGAAGGATTTGGTGTGGGGAAAGCAGGAAACAGGTTGGGCTGTACTTTTTAACCCTTTTTTGATTGCGATGCAGCAATTAATTTGATGAAGCCAATTTGCAGGAGCACTGGAATTACTCATGGCATTAGGACCAACACAATGTTGAGGAACCTCAGGGTCTGAGGAAGACAAGGCAGAGGAAAGTACCATCATGAGGGCAGTAAATTCCCCCAGGATAAAAAAGCCCTGCTTTGGATTAAGGCACACCCATGCCATGTCCACTTGGTTATCACCTCTGAGATCTCTTTGTAACTGCTGAGAGAGCTCAACCCCAAACTGTCCTTTCACTAATCCCAGCACACAGCAATGCTGAGACCCCCCAAAACTGCTATGAACAGAACTTTTGGGCCTTGGCTCCTCTGAGGTCACCACTTTGAGCCTGAAGAGATCCAATGCAGAACACAGGTTTGGAGCTCACAGCTCTGGAGGATTCAGGAGAGCAGCAGCACGAGCAGCAGCTCTGTCACAGCACCAGCAGCAGCAGCAGGGTGTTGAAGAGCTCCTTTTACCAGTTTTTATTTGAAGATCTCCCTTTAGCAGCTCTGTCAGAGGCTGTGCTGCCCAGCCAGGCTGCAGAGACCAAATCTATTCCCATTTGCTGAGGAACAGAATAAATCTATCTCAATAAATAAAATCTGCTGGTGGGTACTCGGTCAGGAGCAGGGAAAGGGCAGGGAGGATGAAGGGGAGAAATGATACAAGAGTTTTCCTGGAAAGACTGAAATCCCTGAAATTGCAGCCAGAAAGAGACAAAGTGTGACTGCACAGAGCTGTCTTTCTAATCTGGACAAATAGAGGCTGTGGCCATCCCTGCTTCAGCCAAGCAACAATTCCCCTCATTTTATCACTTCTTGAGCAGCAGCAACACCCAAATGCTACAGAAAGCCTAAATCAAATCTCTCTCTTTGACAGAAATCCCAGCCCAGGAGAGACAGAATTTTCAGAACAAAAGGAACAGGTAGAGGAGTTCATTTCAGAGGGAATGTTCTTCCCCAGGGAGAAAGCAGTGTGGAAAACTTCAGTGTCAGATGGCTGCAAATGGGGACAGTGCAGAGAAGCCTGGGATAAGTAATACAAATTTATTTTTGTGTTGTCAGGACACTGTGCCTTCATATACCGTGTGCCCATATGGCACTTCCCATGCATGGGATTTGTAAACCTTTCAATTAGCACTGATGGGATAAAGCAGGCAGTTATTTAAAGGAACCCATACGGCATCTTCTGGGGGAGAAACTCCAGCTCCCTGCACTGGACAGGCTTCCCTTGGATGCCCAGAAAGCCCCAAAGGCTGTGCAGGAGCAGTGCCCAGCTGGGAGCAGCTCCCAGCCCAGGGAGCAGCAGCAGAGCCCTGGATCAGGGGATTTGGGGTACACCTGGTGAAACATCCCATCCCAGCCCTCCCTCAGGACATCCCCATGGCAGGGGCACCCCAGGGGCTGCAGAACTTTACCCAGGTTGCTGCTGTCCTTGGAAGCCCAGCAGATGCAGTAGTGCTGCATCAGCTGCTCAAACAGCTCCTTTTCATCCAGGAATTCAAGGGCTTCTATTCTGCAGGAATAAAACAAAGGTCAGGATTTGAGCTGAATTCTCAGCAGAGTTGTTACTGCATTGTTCACTCCATGGGAGTGAGAACTGTGGCCAGAAAGGCAGTCACCTCTCCAGGGAATGATTACAGGCATAATGCCAACCCACCAAAGTATGGAACACCCACAGGGTGCTTCCAGCTCCTCATCCCTGCCATTCCCTGCTCCAGGACCCATCTGGGTAACTCCTGACCAGTACCAGGGCTGCTGCTGAGGCTCTGAGGGGCCAAAGCTCCTCAGTGCACTCCCAGGTGTGAGGAGCTGCAGAGGAGCACTCTGGGAAAGACTTTTCTAAAGAAAGAGCACTTGCCTCAGTGATTCTGGAGGACAGAGTTTACATAACCCTATTTCCTGGCATGTGGAACAAGTGCAAGGAGCTGAGCAGATCCAGGGTAGCCAAAAATGCTGCAGAGAAAGCACGAGCTCTGTGTCTGCACCAGTGCCATATGGTCCCACCACACAGCCCTGTTCCTATTTAAACCACCTCTGATTTCCACTCTCACCTGTTCAGTTCCAGGCTCTGAGAAACCCCCACAGGTGAATATCCTGACCAAGGCAACTTGCTCAGCTAATGCCAACTATTAATGACTCACAGCAATTCACATTTCACATTGTATCCCTAAGAAGTTAGTCCTTAAAACTTCCCACTGTTTAGCATTTAATGCAGGAATATGAACAAAATCCAGGCAGAGTAGTGATTGTTAAACAGCCTTTAGTCCCTGCTCTGAGTTCTGCAGACCCAGCAGTCTCCCCCTCATGATTCAAACGTGTTGTGGTCTAACCCCAGCCAAAATCTTCACCAGGAACATCCTGGGGCGTGCAAAAACTCAACAAAGCATTTCTGTGGCATCTCCCATTGCAAATCTCTGTCAGGAGATGCCTCCTGTCACACCCAAAGAAGCCATCAGCACTCCCAGCCTGCTCCTGGCAGCGTTCACCCCCTGGATGATCAGTGCAGGTGTGACCCTGGGGGCTGTGCAGAGCCTCAGGCTCAGGAGGGCTGTGTGGTTGTGTGGTTGTGTTCCCCTGGGCAGCCTCCTCTGTTCCACCAGGGGATCCCACGTGCATGGGAAGGCCCTTGGAAATGGCACCTGAGGATGCCTTTGGGGTCTGTCCCCCAGTGGTACCTTCTGACATCAGCCTGTGGCAGGAAGCTGTACACCTTCATCATATCCACAGCATGGGCATTGTCCCAGCCACTCCCCAGCAGCCGTTCCCTCTGCAAAACAAACGGCAGCACAGCTCTCACAGCTCTCACAGGCTCCAGGGCAAGCACAGGGCACAGCTTCTCCCCCTGAGGGTCTCACTGAGCTGACTGAGCTGGCATTTAAGAGCTCCCAGACTCCTCACTGAGTGTGTGCTGTGATCTCTGCAGGGCCAGGCAGGGGTTTGTGCAAGCACTGACACTCAGCCAGCAAAGAGAAGCTCTGGGTGACCCAACTGCGGCCTGCCAGGGCCTGAGGGAGCCAACAAGAAACATGGAGAGAGACTGTTTACAAGGGATGGAGGGACAGGACACAGAATGGCTCCCACTGCCAGAGGGCAGGGCTGGATGGGATATTGGGAATTGGGAATTGTTCTTTGTGAGGTGGGCAGGCTCTGGCACAGGGTGCCCAGAGCAGCTGTGGCAGTGCCCAAGGCCAGGCTGGACAGGGCTTGGAGCCCCCTGGGACAGTGGGAGGTGTCCCTGCCATGGCAGGGGGGGCACTGGATGAGCTCCACAGTCCATTCCAAACCAAACCATGCCCCAATTCCATGGTAACGTGGCCAGCAAAGGGCTCAGTGCCTGTCCCCCCTGCCCTGGTCCCTGCTGAGCCCCAGGGCACACTCAGAACTCCCAGCCAGGCGAGCAGAGCCCAGTGCCAGCCCTGTGCCCCTCACCTGGGAGTCCAGGGAGCTGCAGAGCTCCACCCCAGCCAGGTTGCAGTGCCGGCGCTGCAGGTTCTCGATCATGATCTGCCCGAAGCGGTCCCTCATGTTCACCTGGGGGCACAAGGACACAGCAAAGCCTGCTAAACCCTGGCACTGCCTGGGTCACAGAATGCCAGCCCACAGCAGCTCCCAGTGCCACGGGGACACTGGGGCTGGCAGCACAGCTGCCTCTGCCCCAGCTCCCAGCAGGCACTGACAGCTTGGAAGATGCTGTCACTAACTCCTGCAGCCACCTAGTTCCCCTGAGGCAGTGTTTTACTTCCACAGGAGAACCAGAGCTCAGGCTGATGTGATTTTTGCTCCACTTTGCCAAAGAACACAGAGGTAATTATGTAATGTTATACAGCCAGAGCCAGCACTCAGCGTCGGTCCTTTTTGCTCTGCTTTAGCTAAATCAATATTCTATGGTTTTTTCCACGTATGGATTAAGTCTCAATTATTTTGCTTCAACATACTTCAGAAATTGTCTTTCAGAATAGCTGTATTTTCCCTACAATGAGCTAACCAAGCTACAAGTTAAAACACATTACTCCAGAAATTCAGCAGAAACTGCTGTTCCTACAAAAGGACAGGGCCCACTCTCATTCCCCAACGACTCCCACCCACGAGAGCAATTTTAGTGACAACAATGCAGGTCTAAAAATGCCCCTCTGGTTTTACCTGCTCATAATTGATAACCATGGCCACGGGGAAGGTGCTTGCTGCCCACTTGAGCAGGCTTGCAGACTGCTGGGGGGTCATGTAAACCAGCACACACTCGGCCACCAGCAGCGTTGGCAAACTGTAAAACAAAACCACAGCAGAGCATGATTTCCAGCACAGGAACAAGAAAAATCTGCTAAGGACTGAGAGCAAGCAAGTCACTCCATGTCTGCACAATTTCCTGAAAGAGCTCCATCTTTTATGAACCAGACACTGAAGACTGAATGAAATCTCTTCATCACATTGACTCAAACTGGGTTCTCCGGCAGCTGTGAATTAATGAACCACAGAGACTCCTGTGAACCAGAGATTTTAGGGATCAATCTCCCCAAAAGTCAGCCCTGAGCACAGAACACTGTGCATTCTGTAAGTCCTCTCTGACAGCAAGAACTGTGTGTGTTAAAATTCCCTTTGCAGGACAACTGTGCCCTGCACACACAGCTCCCACTCTTGCAGAGATCGGTGAAATCAGGCATTAATTACAAACAGAAAAAAAAAAGTTTTCTCTTTAAAAGAAGTTCTAGGAAGAATTTTAATTAGACAAATTTGTTCAGTATCTGTAAAACAATCTTCACATATTATTATCTAACAAAATGTAATCCATAGTTTGCACGTTGCCTCTTCCCCCTCCATCCACAAAAGAACAAAAATAGACATCTACACAAGTGATTTTCTTCACAATTATTGAGTTTGCTTTTAATTGCTGGAATGAAAGGGGAAAAAAAAGTCACTAGAAGCAGGAGAAATTCCACAAGGAGCAGCAATGTAGGCAAGCAAGGCAACATTTCAGAGGATGGAAGTGTAAAGAATTAAATGGCAATTTGATGCATTCTGCTTCCCCATATGCTCTCTCCCACCCAGCCAGATCTCTGCTATTTATATTGCTTCCATTTGAAAGGTCTGTCCATCATCCACTCAAAAACTCAACTCCTGCCCCCCCAAAGCCTCGTGTTGTACAAGAGAACCCCAGAGGAGCTTTGGGATTCAGATCCCAAGGACGCCAGAGCAGCCCCACCAAAGTGTTTAGGAAACAACAGGGGTTTGAGAGGAGGCCACAGGAAAGAATTACAGAGCTAAAACTCAGAAATCACAGAATGCTGGAATGGTTTGGGTTGGGAGGGATCACAGAGACCAGCCAGTGCCACCCCTGCCATGGCAGGGACACTGCCACTGTCCCAGCTCCCGGCCAGGCCAGCCTGGCCCAGGGCTTCCACAAGTCCCCATTGAAAAACACCCACAAAAAGCCAATGAAACCCCTTACTGTGTGTCCAAGCTGTGTTTCCTCAGCTTCTCCTCCAGATCTGAGGAGGAACGGAGGTCTGCCCCTACTATGGAATATCGACTGGAGTCCAGGCTGTGGGAATCTGCAAGGAAATGTGAGACACCAACGTCACAGTGAGGGGATATGCAGTTATCAATCAAAAACACTGCAAGGAGCACAGAAATACCACCTGGAGTCCAGGCTGTGAGAATCTGCAAGGAAATGTGGAGACACCACCGTTACCAGTGAGGGATGTGCAGTTATCAATTAAAAACACTGCAAGGAGCACAGGCAGCCCAAGTTTGCTCTGTCACACCCAACTGTGAGCAGCAAACTCTTCTTTTCAAGCCATGAATTCCCCTCCTGGCTGTGTTCTCCATCACCAGCAGACCCTGCAGGAGCCTGCTCTGCCTCTGCAGCCACGCTGAAGCAGAGAGGTTAGCCCAGCTGTTACCATGGTTTCCAGCAATGCAGAGAGAAGAAAAATGGCAAGATTAAAGGCAGGGTTTGTGTTTGGTTTGGGGAGTCTTCTTAGACTGCCCAATGTATGTACATAGGAACTACATAAAAGTACATCCATTTCTGAAAAGCTAAGCTAAGTGGCAATATTTCAAATATTAACAACAGATATAGCTATAGAAATTAACTGCATATGTAGTTATGTAATAAATATGGGGAGCAGGCAGAGACTTGGGGCCAAGAAGAAGTTATCATTTAGCCTTTAGGTATGATTTAGTGGTGGCATTTAAGGAAAGAGTCAAATTACTGAAGGTATTCTGATGTTGTTGATATTGCCCAGGGATACAACAGGACCCTGTGGGTGCTCCCCAGCACGAAGGAGGGACAAATCCCAGAGGAGCCCCTGCCATGCTGGCACAGCTGGGAGGGAGCAGCAGAGCCTCCTGCCATCAGTGACGCTGACACCCAGCAGCAATGAGCACCCAGGGGAGCCCAGTGCCCACAGGAGGCACTTCCCAAGTGCTCCAGCAAACCCAGGCAGAGCCAAAGCCCTGCATAACACTGGGGTGGCTCTGGAGGGGACTCCAGGCCTCCCTGGGCAGCCCCTTCCAGTGCCTGGCCACCTTTCCATGGAGAAATTCCTCCTGATGTCCAGCCTGAGCCTCCCCTGGCACAGCCTGAGGGAGCAGAGAAGCGGCTGAAGGGGCAGGATGAAAGGGGTTTCTATTCATGAACAAAACAACTGGGGACACGTGTGGGTTCCCCAATTATCCCAACACACAGTGACCAAACATCCCAGAGGATCACCTCTGGTTTTCAAGTGACCAACTCCCTGGAAATAGCACTAGCAAGGGAAATAGCTGCCATTCCAGCAGCACTTGGGAGCAGATCCAGGAACCAGAAACAGTTCAGAAAGAGAGTTACAAGGGAAGAAAAGAGAAAAAAAACTTGTGCGGCATGTTGAATGATTCAACATTTTGAGTCAAGGCTTTTTCCATGTGCATGTTCTGTAATAGCTTTACTACTTCCCACACCCTTCTATTTAAGTGATTACATCAAGGCCATGATAATGGCATCAAAAAAAGCCACCCAAAAACCCCACCACACACAGGGAAGTGTTTAAATAGGGACTGGTTTCTGTCCATGGATACGGCACCGCGAGCGTCAGCCACCACAATTAGTAGGGAATTAATGCCAGCTCCCTGTCCGGCTTCGGAGGCTGGGTCACACAAATACCTCAATAAAGAACAGAAATAAAAGCCAGAAATAAACCACAAAACTTTTTAAGTGATCTGGGAGAGAAGGAGCACAAACACTCCAAGGTGGAAGTAAACGTTCCTTGCTCACAGCTCATTGATTTGAGCATTCTTATCATAAAACCTGAATTGATTTAGGTTGGAAGGGATCATAGAGACATCCAGTGCCACCCCTG